TACCTACAAATTCATGCACACCTAATTAATTAGACCAATTATAAATTTCTAGCTGCCCAAAAGAAAAATAAATTAAACATATATTTCATGTAGCAGCAAGAAGCATGTGCATCATTTGATGATTTGTTAAGTTGGCCTCTCTAACTTAAGGGCATCTCCAACCCAGTTCTCTATTTCACTCTCCAAATATAGAGTTTTCTATTTTTTCAGACAATCAACTCAAACCCAATTCTCTATTTTATCTCTAAAAGAATCTTCTCCTATCTCCTCAATATTATATTATTATTTATATTTCATTCTTATTTTCTTATTTCATAATATAAATCTCCTCTCTTTTTATTTTATTTTATAAATAATCAATTTTATATAATTTTCATGTGATATAGAATTTTGTTTTTTCAAATTCTATTTTTAATATAAAATTATATTTTATTCTAAATTTCTAAATAACATAAACTGGAAGCAAATATTATATAATATACAAATTAATGAACAATTCAAATAAAAGTGAAATCATTAATGAAATATAATTATATAAACATTATATAAATACCCAACTTTCAAGATTATTACGGTGCTCACATAAATGCTCTATTAACACATTATGGAGTTCAAAATGAGCACTTTTGTCCTTATTTTTTTTTATGTCTAGCTAAAAATTGTTCAAATCGAAGATTTTCATCTACCACCATTTTTGTCGTTGCAATTGGAGCCTCTACGAATCTTGAATTGGTGCATTAAGATTACGTCCATCCTTGATTATCATGTTGTGCAATATAATACATGTAGTCATTATATCATGTAGCACTTCATTTCTCCAAAAACGTGATTGTCCTACAATAATTGCAAAACGTGATTGCAAACCTCCTAATGTACGTTCAACATCTTTTCGGCTTGGTCCTTGTTTGATCGCGTAATATTTCTTCTTTTGAGAACGTGGATTACGAATAGTTTGAACAATTGTAGACCATTTAAAATTGTGCATTCTTTATAGTGAAAATTAATAATAAAATCAAATTATACTAAATTGACAAAAAAAATTAAAAATTTGAAATATTATTAATTCGGAATGAAAGTAGTATATATTAAATAATATATATTTTTTTAAATATTATATTACATTTAAAAGGAATTACAAATATTAGAGATTTAATTCATAGCTTATATGACAAATAATATGTTAATTACAAAATAATATAAATAATAATAAAATAATGAAGAGTGAAATAGAGAGTGTGAATAGTAGTTCTTCAAATTTGGAGAACTACAATTCAACTTTCTATATATGGAGAATAAAAAGTGAAATAGAGGATGATTGGAGAGCTTATTCTCTATTTTACTGTCCAAATATAGAGAATTGAGAGTAAAATAGAGTGTGATTGAAGATTGTCTTATATAAGCCAACAATAAAAGAGACATACATTTAATGAAGACAAAAAAGCACAAGTAGACACATTCAATGAAGAGTGGCATTTATGGGCTTAAATTACTTAAACATACTTTTAATATGATTTATTGAATATTGTTAACTGTTCTTACAAGTATAATGAAATGAAATTAATATTTAAAAAAAGGAAAAAAAAAAATTTGCCAGAAAATTTGATCAGAATGGTAAAATAACTTATTTCACACTATGTTATTTTATCTTTTTGAACATTTTTATCCTTTTAATTAAAAAAATGAAAAAAAATATCAGTTTATTTTAAAATAAAAAGGATATTATAGACTTTTTAAATTTCTGGCCAAATTTTCTGGCCATTTAGCATTACCCAACATTTTATGAACGAATAGTACTTAATTAATACTAATAAAGATAAAATAGATATAAATTAGTAAATTATCTCATAATTTTTTGAGCTAATTACATTATTTTCCTACTTTTTTTCAAATTACAAAAGTTCCTTAAAATTTATGGATTTCGGATGCATTGCTGGACTTCCTAATATATCATTGGACTTCCGGATACATCACTGGACATCCGGATACATAGATGAGGGATGTATCCGAGAGGGGAGGGATGTATCAGAGAGTGGATACGACATCCAGTTACATCAACAGACATCCACATACATAGGTGAGAGATGTATCAGAGAGGGGAGGATGTATCCGAGAGAGGGATAGAAATGTATCAACAGGAGAGTGATGTATCCGAAAGGGAATTTTTGAAATTTTTTTAAATAATAGGAAATTTTAGAGATTACGGTAAAATAAGATGTGTATTTAGGTAATTTTTCCTTTAATTAAATAGACAATTAAAAGTAATTTTTTAAAAATATATTGAATAAATAAAAAAATAATGGATTATATTAACTTAAATCCATAAATAAAACATTTTATATGTAAGAAAGTGAGCTCCAATGTAGCAGGAAATCATGGAGAAGAAATAGCAGAAAACATGTGTGCCATGCATCGTAAATCGTGCTCATATTTTTCTCCCTTTAATATGAATTTTTTTTTGTGTCTCACGCAATTTAAATTAGTTTTCAACAGCTAAGTTCCAGTTCTACATTTTTCTGAATAAATAATAGTGTCACATCGTATAAAATATCTCATGTTTATGTAAATTTTTAAAAAATATCATATGCTTCAAAGAGTACTGTGATGTAAACAACCTAATTATCCTAATATAAATATTAATAACTAATTTTACAGCTCAAATTCATAAACTTATAAATTATATGAAAATAACTTTACGATGCATAGCAAAATAATGCTATTAGCCCTCACGAGAAGCAACTATATAGTATAAAAAAAAGGAATATATAATACAACGTATGAATTCTTTGAATTGCTTGCAATTTACAGTTTCCTCTATGCACCGCCTACAAAAAGATGCCTTACTGATAATACAAACAAATATTACTAGACCTTAGTGGTATCAAAGGTGATATATACTATATGATATTTAATAATAACAATTTGGTATGATATTTTAAGAAAAAATATTGAGATAAATAGTGTTATTATAAAGAAATTTGATTTTATATTTATAGTTAATATCGAACTAGCAAAGAATAATAGCAAACTATTAATAACTTGTAATATTCCTAATTTTGAAGTGCTTAATTACCTTCATGCGTATGATCATATCTATAGTACTTTCTCCGTTCTTACTATAATTAAAAATAATTTTATTTTATAATTTATCGTTTTCGTATCATTAATGAAATAATTTACAATCACATAAATATATAATATGATAATTTTAGATCACATTTTAAAAATCTTCATTTTTTTAAAATATCATGTCAAATCAAAATATATCATATAAAATAAAACGGAAGGAGAACCTTCCCCCCCTCCCCCCCTTTGTCCAATAAATTGCGCAATAAGGAATTTTAGAGTGATACGTACAAGATAGGGTGACATCCAATAAAGAAAATGAATGATCCAGCTATATAATACTAGTAACTAATATACCTAGTGACCACTTGCAACTTAAATTTTGTTGTGTCATATGTCATGGAAAAAGACACACAATATATATATATATATATATATATATATTAGGATCCTTCGGGGTGGCCCAATGGTTTGGGCTTGAGACTTTCATATTCGAAACTCCTTGCCAGCGAAAGCAAGGGGGTCGCCTTCTGGGTCGAGCTGGTCGCACCAGTCTTGCCTAGTGTGGGTTACCTCTTTTATGGCGAATGTTTTACCCTATGTGCATTCAACCTAGTGTGGGAAGTGTGGGTTACCTCTTCTATGTAGATAGCGACTTGCGGATTTCCCTTATTATAAAAAAAAGTTATGGATTCTAAACTTGTCATCGAATTCATAACTCGTGTTAGTTATTGAGTTCACACAATTAAGTATTTAATTTGAATATAATATTAAGTAAATATTTTCATATACTTCGATTAGCCGTTTCGAATTCAAACCCTTTAAGATGATGTTGCAATTTGGTAAGGAGTTTTACACCTTATAAGGAGGCTTTTCAACACGAATTTAAATTAATTGTATTTCAAAATAAATATTTAATATCGAATAAAAACATAATAAAGGAAAAGTTTTATTGGTTAGCTACAACTTTCTTGTGAAGACAACAAGAGAATAACCTAATCCACCTCACTTTTGGTTGTGAGCAACTCATGGTTCCTTTCTATTCTCAACACCTTTCTTTACTCATAATCCTCCTTTTCCAACTCCCATAAAATATATATTGTAGTAAGAATTTACTCTCTCCGTCCAACAATAATTGTCCGACAATACTTGTTCAATTTAAAAAATTAAGAGATAATTTACCTTTTGTGTCTATTTTACCCTTTCTATTAAATACGATTTATCATCCAACATATTTCTCAAAGCAATAAATTTAATAAATTCAAAAAGATAAAATAGTAATATTACCCCAATTTTTTATTATTTCTCAAGGGGTGTGTCAAATTAATAATAGACAACGTATTGTTGGACAAATGGAGTAACTACTATTCATCGATAGTATAATAATGGAAGGTAAGTCATAAGTGTTAATTAACTAATGCTCATCGATAGTGTAATAATGGAAGGTTAGTGTTTATTATAAGTAGGACAAGTTACTTGATCAATAAAGTAATTGGAAATCCGTTACAACAAATTAAGAAAAAAATCATATCGAAAATTTAATTAATTTGGTCGTTTGATTAAGTCAATATAACTTACTTATGTACATAAAATGTTTTTTTTTTCTTCCACTAAATTCTCCACTAATTAAGATTAATACCTTTCATGTACTTTTTTGGGGGGTGGGGTCTACTTTTTCTTAAAATTACACATGAGAAAAGTAAAGAATATGGAAGAAAGCCAGATCAGATGGATAAAAGAAATTACTTTTCTTTAAACAAAAGGCCAAACACATGGGAGTAAATTAAACCCCATACTCAAAGAATTCAAAACAAGAAACTTAAATAATCATAAAAGAATTATGTTTATTAATTAAATCATCAAATAATATATTTTATTAATATTAAAAATAAATGTTAACAATTTATAATTCACAATTGTCAATGGTTTGAAAATTAAATAATTCAAGATTAAAAAAATAAAAATAAAAATAAAGGGAGTGTTTTTGATGATTTAGTAATGGCAATCAACCAAAGGTGAAGCTGAGAAGACAATGACTTGTTCTTTTGTAGCAAAGGTGAATTTAGAATTTTCCGGCCGGTGATCGTCTTCCGGCGCCGGGAGATTAAGGTCCAATGACAAAAATGTCCTTGTGTTGTTCTTGATTTGTTGATCATGATGATGAGAGTGAGACTCTTCATGGATATGATGATTTGATGCAATTGCAATACTATTTGGTAATGGCCTATGTCTTCTCATGTGTCCACCTAATGCTTGACCCGAGGTGAACTCGGCCCCACAAATCGAGCACTCGTGAACCCTATTCTTATTCTTGTTGTTATTGTTGTTGTTGTTGCTTGGGATTTGGAGTGATAGAGTTGTGACATGATCATCGTTGTTGTTCAGTTTAAGACGAATATTATTCTCAACTTGTTGATGATGATCACTTGATTTCGAATTCTTGATTTGATCATCTAGGGTTTTTGGTTTCTTATGACTTGCTCTGTGTCCACCAAGTGCTTGGAAAGATGGGAAGGAACGATTGCATGTCTTGCATTGATAAACATCTAACGTTGGAGATTGAGACAACGACGATGACTTTTGGTAATTATGACCTTGTGCTAAAAGAATCAAACAATTCGCCATATCTTCTTCTTCTTGATTCGTATTTCTGACAAACTTATCATCAATCATCCCACCACAATTATTCAAACGTGACGAAGAGTTTGCCACATGTCCATCCACCAATTCACCACTACCAGCACCTTCCACGGTGCTACATGAGCTAGTAGTAATCCCTAAAGTTAGAGGAGAAGGCGGCCTAGGTCTCTTAGTCCGCCTTCTCTTGATCACCATGTTCAACTGCTGATCTTGATCTTGATCATGACCACGATCATCATGAACTTCCATAGTGTAATACTCTTTGATTTTTATCATCTAAAAGATTACTTACTTTTTTCAAAGAAAAGCAATCAAACAAAGAGAAGTTTTTTTTTTTTGGTTAGATGGAGAAAATGATGTAACAAAGTGACTATATATATGTATATAGTATATAGTTTGGATGGCGTTATTAATAGGGAGTTTTTTTTTTAGGTAGAATGAAAAAAGAAGCCGCCCCCGTGAGTAGAAATCTTGAAAATGTTCACTGTTTTCTTGCACTAACAAACTTTGCAAGTTATATATATATAGATATAGACAATTGATATTATTTATAATTTTATTTGTATAATATAAAGTTTTAATTGTATATGTAAGTGAGGAAAAGAGTAAGATTCGGTTGGCTTTGAAGCAACCCCATTACTTTATGCCAACGATATACCTTGTGGAGGATTGGAGTGCAAGCCTGGCACCACACAATTAATATATCCACATATAAAAGAAAAGGGAAAAAAAAATTATAATCGTAACTACGATACAAGTAGGGGGTAAATATGTGTACACACTATCGTGAATATATATGTTATGTTATTGTTGTACTAGGTACTAGTAATAATTAAGAGTAACAACGTTTTAGTTGTCATTATAATAACTTGTTTGTTTGATTGAGTCAATTAATTGCCAAGTCCATAAGTATGATTAGTTCATTTATTATTAATGTTAATTGTTTGACAAAATGAATTTGTTATAAAAATACTAGTCGTTTTAGAAAAACAAGAGTTACTTTTTATAAATCTATAATTATTGCTTTAATTAATGGGGTGTCAATTGAATAGGATGTTTAAGGGAGTGTTTGGATAAGGTAGAGTGCCTTCTGTGATGGACACAATGAGGGAGGTGAAGTTGAGATGATTTAGGAAAGTGAAGAGAAGATGTCCAGATGGCCTACTCAGAAGGTGTGACAAGTTGCGCGCCTATGTTGGTATGGAGAGATGTGATTAGACAAGAAATGATATATATCATGTAGTTTACCGAGGATATGACCCTAGATCAGAGGATATAGAGGTTGGAAACAAGGATAAAAGTAGTCAAACGTTGTCTATTTTTATATGCATTATTTAAGCCGAGGTCCATCATAAATCATCTCTCTATCTTCAAGGTGGAGATAAGACTACACACATCATCCTCCTCAAACCTCACTAATAGAGTACACGATCGAAGTTCAAGCAGTAGAGGCAAAAATATTGAGGTAATTTTTTTATTTGTTCGACTCTTAATATATGGTATTCATACTAATAAAATATAATAAATATCTCATATAATTAGTCGAGATATACACAAACTGATCGTAACGTAAGTAGTGGGGGAGAGTGGACTTGGTTAGGATTAATGGGGTTAGTGATTGTTAATGAATGAAGCAAAATTCCATGTGCAGTTGACCCGACCCACCCACTTATGTGCTACTACTTAGTACAACTAGGTCCATCACTTTATACTTAATTAATTGGATTATGACCCAAAAATCACGGCGTCCTTTCTGAAAATTCTCCCAATTAATTAATTTTTAGGATGATAATTAATAATCTTATGTTTCATCCAAATGATTAGGTTTGGTTAAGTATGGAATAATGACATGTTCCCCTTTACAACGTGTACATTTGGATCATATAATTAATCATTAGTACTAAGGTAAATTGAATTAACTTCAATTCATTACCTTTGGTTTAAATAATAGCAATTTATTTGCACCCAATATTTATCTCATGCCAATATATATATATATATATATATATATTGTTATCTCCTTCATGTATTTTTATTTGTTATTATATTGAAAATAGATGTTCATTTGCTATTTTATACCTATTTATTCTTATTATTAAGTATTATTTATTTCTAATTCATTTCTTAATGAGCAAGATAAATTATAATAATTAGAAATGATATAGTAAATTGTCATTTTATTTATTATTTTTTAAGAGATATATCAAGTCAAATATAAAAAATAAAGATGAACGGAGAAAGTAATATATTATATATTATTACTTGATTATAGTTAATTAATATATATTCATTCTTTTATATTACTTTATAAGTAATAGTAATAATTAAGTTGATGTAAATAACGATTGCGATATATAGAATTAAGTTCATTTAATGAAGTAAGAAGAGTAATTAATGCAAACGATAATGTTTAGACTATAGGATAGGTTATTAAAATATATTATTGCTTTGGAATTGGATAATGTGCACGTTGTCATGGGTTAAGTGTGAATTCGTTGCGTGATTATCAATCAATTTATGCTAATGGAAACTCCGTCTTAGCTAATCTTTGTTTTATTTCAATTTACGCGACATATTTTTTCCTAATATGTTTTAAAAAAGAATATCGGACGTGGCTATAAATTTAAAAGCCTTTCTTCTTATGTAAACTAATAAGAATATGTATTACCGTTTGCTCGAATAATAACCAAAAAAAAAAGAGTGATCGGCAAATGAAGGAAAATCATCGTGTAGCAAAAAAGAGATGAGTGATACTATTTACCTAAATTTCATGCTTAGTATTATACTGTTAGAATCACATAAATTAAAACGGAGATCGATATATTTTTATTTTACCTTCCCCAAAACATGTGTCAACTTGATGCATGTGGCCCATATATATCCATTAACTGTTTAATTAGACCCCATCAAGTTATCAAAATTCAATGAGGAATGTTTTGTGTTGTGTCTTTATTCTCACCTTATTTACGTAGCTTTGAGGACCCATTTTTTTCTTACAATTTCCATAATGAATGCCTTGATACAAGGATCTTATTAAAAACAAAAAAAAAAATCCTTTAGAATTTCCATAATAAATGACCATTTTTTGCTAGCTGCTTCCAACCGTCACAACATTATATTATTAATTTTTCAATTTTGTATAGTATTTGATTGTGAGCTTGTTCACATTGTTAGCTTCAAAATATGAATACTGAAGGAACATAATATATATTGTGGTAGATTGACAACCATCGTCTAATTTGTTAATTCATAAAGAGTCTTCGTAAACACCTCTTCTTCTACTACTATTACAATAAAAGAGACATATAGCATCAATAAAGTTAATTTTCTTTTAGCGTCAATTGAGTTAATGTCACACATTTAGAGTCGTTAAAGTCTTTAACAACATTTAATTAATAGAGTGTTGGTTATCAATACTCATATTTATTATTGTCGCTAAATATAATATAACAAAAATTATATTATATTGTCGCAAAAATTCTTTATTTATTATAGTGTACTTAGTACTACTATTATTTTTTTAATAACTATATACATATATTTAACTTATTTTTTCTTTTCTTTTTATTTCGGGTATTGACGACATGAATTGAGTTTAAATAAAAAAAAGTAATAATTCATATAGTCGATCTCAATATATTTGGGATTGAGGCGTAGTTGAGTGTTTGCAAATATTTTTATCAATCATAGATTAGAAGTAATTAAATTCAATAACTTGATACCGTTCATTGATCAAATACTATACTTTTCCATTAGTAATAATATTTAGAAAAGAAATTTGTGCACTTCTAATACATGTATGGCAATTATTTTAATAATTAAATAAGATACGTACTATACGAAACAGATTATATATAAATAAATTAAATAAAGTTGGACGGCAATTGTTGTAATTGTGAGTTGTAGTATTTTTGAACTATATATGAAGTGAGGAATAAAAATGAATTGAAGAAAGAGAAAGATTCATAACGTATGATGTGCCCATAATTATATTCATAGTATATAATATATTAATTAATTAGAATATTAAGGTTTGTGAGGGGCAAGTAACCCTTCTGATATAATCATTAAGTTCTATAGTATAGTACTATTATAATTTATAGTACTAGTTATAATTTTGCTCAAGTAAAGCATTTTTAGTCTTAAAGTTATTGCTTTATGTGACATCATTTTGTACGTAGCTTTTGAGTTGGTAAAAAGAAAACTATCATGCACTCATCTCATGGTTTGCTTTTAGTTGATTCTTTATTGTAGAGAAGTTTATCTTTTGAGTTATTCTTTTCATCTCTCCTATCTTTTAGTCGTGGAGTCAAAATTTTATTAAATGTGAGAATTAAGTTTTATATTTGTAGTTTTTTTCCAAAAGAATTATAAATATGATATACTAATATTTTTAATGATGTGAGATTTTTTGAAGAAAAATATTGTACGAATTTTATCTAAAGCGAACAATATCATATCATATTAAAAGTGTATTATATTTAGAATGTTTTAGCGTAACAATTGATATCAAAATAGTCAATGGTTCTGCAAGATGAATACAACTAGGGATGGTACCGATGAGTTGGGGATCGACTTACTAGTCTTGCCTACCTAAGAATGGATTGTCTGAGCATAACAGTTGATATTAGAATAGTCAATGGTTCTACAAGATGAATATAACTATGGGCCTCGACTTACTACCTTTGCCTATCTACAAATTAAATCGATCTTTATCTCTGGCTTTGGAGACATGTACACATATAAAAGAAGCCAGTGAGTTTTGATGATCATATATAGTTAAATACTCGATTGTGAATAGTACACAATTTATCTCTAGATAAGATCATGTGGTATCAAATTATGTAATACTTAGTGAGAGAAAGAGAAAGTTATCGGGTGTGCAAATAAAATCTAACATTGATAGTTGAAAAAATAGTGCTACAAATGAGTTTTTTTTTATTGGTTAATGCTACAAATGAGTTCTTTTGAAGAAATTTGTGCAAGTTTGATTCTAAACAGACAATATTATATTAAGCACAATTTTAGAATGTTTTAATCAAACATATATAATTTTATCAAAAGGATTCATAATATAAAAAGTAAATATACACATAAGAAAAATTGGTGAAGTTACTTTCTGTCATCAGTCTAGATTATTCTATTTTTTTAATAAATAAATAAATAAAATCCTAGTATTCTCTCCACTAAAGAAGCACCATGGGGGCTTGAATTATTGAGTGTAGTGTGCATGTTTTAGTGTGTTGAGCTCCACTCTTTTTGTATCATTAATAATT